CCTGGCGGCGCCGCGGACGCCGCACGCCGCATGGCCACGCCGCTGCTGCTGGCCCTGGCCGTGATAGAGATCTCCGACGTGGTGTTTGCCGTGGACTCGATCCCCGCGGTCTTCGGCGTGACCCTGGACCCCTTCATCGTTTACAGCTCCAACATGTTTGCGATCCTCAGCCTGCGGTCCCTCTACTCGTTCGTGTCCACCATCATGACCGAGATGCGGTTCCTGGACAAGGCGGTCGCGCTGGTGCTCGCCTTTATCGGCGCCAAGCTGGTCGGCGAGTTCGCGGGCGTGGCGGTGCCGACGGACGTCAGCCTGATGGTGGTCGGCATCGTGCTCGGCGGCGGCGTCGCGGCCAGCCTCATGCTGCCCGACGAGGACAAGGTTGAGTGACATGATCGGTGCCCAGTTTAGTGGCAGCGCACGAGGGGCTGCGTGCGCGGCGGCGCGGGTCGCTCTCGCGGGGCAGGGGCAGCAGCGCATGCGAGTGCGCTCAAGGTTGAGCGGCGTGTGTTTCGGAGGCCTGCCATACTGTTCAGTGGCTGCCAATTGACCTGTTATCGGCGGCACTGTTGGTTCAAACGAAGTAGTCAGGCGGCGAGACGCGGCCGGGCCGCTTGCATGCTGGTTGCTTGGGGCAAGTTGATGCAGGCACTGCAGTGCAGTGCCGGACAGCAGTACGTTTTTCCGCTTGCTTCGTTGGTGGTGGCCGGTGCACCATGGCCGCAGTCAGCACTGGCGGTGGCCGCTGTGCTCTTTCGAGTGTCTCGTGCCAAGCAGCCCCGCACCCCTTGGCATCTGCCCCTGGTGGCCTCGAGCCCAGCTGAGCATGCGTGGATGTGGGTGGCGCCGCCGTCCCTTACGCATGCCTGCTTGGCCGATAATTGGTCTGAGCGAGAGGCTGACGCCCCAGCTTAATTTTGGTCACTTTAGCCCCTGGAGCCCCCCAGTAGAAGCACACGCCAGCACCTCACCTGTTTCGGCTACTGTGGGCTGCCCTCTGGCAGCCTTCCCTGGCTGCTCATGCCCGGTCCCGCATGGATCGGGCTGTTGGCAGCAGTTTTCCGATGCAGCCGCTCCCCTGCTTGTTTGCATCCGAGCGACGGCCACTTGTCTGTGTCTGCGCTTGCGCGTTGGCGCTGTCCTTGATTGAGGGACTGTTGCCGCTTTGACCCTGCGGCTGCGGGACGACGCCACTCGGTGTCTCCCGAGCTGGGGCTGTGTGCTGTCCTATCGGTAGTCGCATTCGTTGGTGGGCCAGCCCAGGGCGCCGCCATAAGCACTTCTCATGAACCACGCAACCACTTGCCCGCCTGCTGTGTATCTGCGGGAACCATCATTCACAAGCGCAGTCGGCTTCTTGAGAGTCACTTGCACGAGCAGGTAATTGGTTATTGATGTCTTCATGGATATCTCGATGAACATACCGCTTTACCCAATCACCTGCTTTCAAAGAAGGGGCTTGATATTACAAGGGACACGTGCCCGTTGCCAAAGCACCCGCCCATCAGTCCTCAGCCTGCTGAGCGCTGCCTGGGTTGATGACATGATGAGGCAGCTTGAATGCAACAGCCCGGCAAAAGCCAAGCCCCCACGTGTCCGTCAAGCTTCAGGTCACACTTGGATGATTGCTGAGCAGCTCAGTGTGTGTGCCTGACAGAGAATGCTTCAGGCCTGCCATCACGCCAGAGGCCGTGGCTCGCTGATGTCACTGGTCAAGTTGCGGCAAGGTGCTCTCACCCTGAGCGGTCCGAGCAGCGAGCACGGTATTCAAGCAACAATTTCTAAACCTCTAATAAAACATTTTTGGCATACGTCGGACACACACAGGCTCTGGCCATCACGTCAACCGCACGAAACACAGCCGTGGAGAAAGGGGGCTGAGCTGGGACTCTGGGCGCTTCACAGTGCAACAAATCAGGGTATTCGACGATGTGGGCAACGTTCAGGCGCTCTCTGAGTAGTGCAGGCTCCGGTAAAATGGTCGAACCAGCGGACGACGCTTCCGAGCAGCCGGTTCCCTGCAAAGTGGAGGCAGTAGTCTTTCCGCCCACACCAGAGCACCAGCTTCTGGGCAAGGTGCGTGGCGGAGGTGCGTGCGGTCAAAAAAAATTGAACAGCGGCTGAGTTGAGGCCACCACTTGGTTGGCTCGTGGTTTCGAGAGAAGTCGCTTGTATTGGTGTTGACAGCGGGTGGGTGGCAGGCCGTGACGGGCCGCATGCGACGTGCGGTTCCGCTGGCACTGGGCCAGTGGTGTCCGCCTGCCTTGCTGGCGCTCCACCCAGAGAGCATCACGGACGCCCCCGCAGCTGGTGCAGCGGTCCGCGCCAGCCCTCTCCCTCTCCCTGCAATTCTTTCGTCCCACCCAGCTGTGGTGACACAGCAAACTCAGCGGGCCCCTTTGTGTTGGCGCACACTGGTGTGCCGCCACTGCGCGCCCCCCACCCCTGCCCAGGTTGACCCGAACAACATTTACACCAGCGACGTGCACCCGGTCTTGCGCCAGCGCAGCCGCGCCCTGAAGGATCTCCCGCCGCTGGAGCCGGCGGGGGACGCGGGCAAGCCCGTGCTGCCCGCACATTGACGCCCCCCCCCCCGGTCCCGGGGTTGCCGAGTGGCAGACGGGGCGGTCAGGGGCCGCACTTACTGCGCTGCCGCTGCTCGGCAGCCAGCGCACACAGCCTGCGGATGCGGGACGGCCGGCAGCCGGCAGGGGCACTGCGGCACCGCTCCAGTTGCGCCGGGTGGCGGCGAGTTTGGAGGCCGCCGCGGTTTGGCGTGGCGGCTTGTTGCCTTTGCAGGGCTCTCCAAGCTGGGGTGGCTGGCCGCACCTGCGGCTCGGCTCAATTGCAGGCTACTTTGGCAGCCCGGTCAGCATGCGGTTCGGCTGGTCTACAGCCACTGCAAGCCCCGTGAGGGCGCATGGCACATTAAGGAGGCCGGATACCGCGGAGCGTCGTTCATTTGCATGGGGATGGAACCTATGTAGAGTTTTCTGGAGGATTGGTCTGCAGCAGAAACCTCAGGACAAGGCGATGGCTGTGGCCGTATGCTTTCTTTCGGCATGCAGACGACCCACTACAGCGCCTGGCCCCAGGCAATGGCAGCGGGCCGAGGCAGGTCATGCCACATCATTTGTCGACACAATTTACGCAGTGACCTTGCTCGATACACACACATACACACGCACACACACACATACACGTACACTACACACACATCGTTTCGAAGCAACCAATATGGGATGTGGCGCGTCAAGCAATATGGGATGTGGCGCGTCAAGTATGGCGTGGCGCTGCGCGCATGGTCAAGGTGGCGGGAGAATGCGCCCTGGCATTCCTTGGGGACAAGTTGGGCCTTTTTACGATCACCTGTCATAGCCCCAAACATAGCCTCCACGCCATCTGAAAAATGATGTTGCGAGCCAGCATTACACCCCCCTCCTCCTGTCCTTTTTGTGGGTCCCTGGGGGTTTCACCCCGAGTCTGCAAGCTCAGCACAAGTCATGCGTCATCTCCAGAAGAAAACAAACTCTTGCTACTAATGATACTATTCGATGTGGCCTTCGAGCCGTACGCAAGGCTGCTCGTGTAATGCATGCGCGTCACACAGCGCCTGCTTTGGTGAGACAGCCGCACACTGTGAGAAAGCAGGCTCTCTCCACCTCGCTGTCGTGCTTCGGTCCGCTAGGAGGAGCAACCCGATCCGTTGATCGTTTAGTGTGTGTGTGTGTTTGCAACACTCTGCGCGCGCCCTCTGAGGTTGACTTGATGTCGCGCGTCCGGCATTCTCAGGGGCTGCTTTGAATGGGCATAAGTTGTTTGCTGTAGCAGCAGCACCCACGCCTGGCAGGCACCAGTGTTCCAGGCCTGCCTGCCAGCAGCAGATGAGAGTTCACCCAGCTGCATCCTGATCCAGAGATACGTACAGGCACCAAGACGATGCAGCAGCACTTACAATAAAAGGCAGACCGTTCGCAGGTAAGCAATGGGTCGTTGATTAAGACAGTGGTTCACGAACTGCATCCAGTACACAAGAAGCCAACCAAAGAATAGCAGGCAGTTGAAGGCCACAGCACCACGCAAGCAACTGGGAGCGTCGCTAGCGGCAAGGTCAGCTGCATGTGTTGGTCCATGTCAAGAACCAGCGAGTGCCAACCATCATTGACGAGAGTCAAATGTGCATGACCAATCGCACATGAGCAACTGCATACATGAATGAAGGGCCGCCCCGTGCTCACAATAAACGGAAGGGTCTTTGCCGACAATGTAAAAAATGCACAATGCCACAGCCAGACGTACCGGTCTATCTCCGCAAGCCATGGGCCCCGCCCCATTCGTCAGGGGGTCCCCATGCCAAGCCCTCCTCTGGCCCGGCCTGCGCCGCCGCGGCCAGCGGGCCCGTTACTGCCCGGCCACCGCCGCCTGCCGGGGCCAGCCCCACCCCCACCGCCCGTGCCTCGAAATCCGGCAAGGGGCCGCCCCACCAAGTGAGTGCCACGACAACCACAGCCAGAAGGGCAGTCCTTTCTACGGATCGCGCCATGAAGTAGTCAGCAGCGATCAGCACCAGCGAGATGGCCAAGCTGCGGCGCAGCAAGCGCATCGGCCACCGCCTGAATGCACACGCGCCTCTGCAGGAAACGATTTTACCAACGGTGATCCGAGATGATATTGGAATCCTAAACGACGGTTTGTATGCTGCAACCAGCGATCCCAGGAAAAAAGTCTGATCTGTCCATACTGTGTGTGGAGCGCGTGCTGATTTGGAAAATCCACTTCATCAGCGGTCTCATGACATTGCCACACGAGCCGCCCACTGCTGCCCTGCCTTGCACCGCTGCGCTCGCATGTCGATGCAGGCCAGCCGGTTACACACTACTTGTCATACGTGTCAGGTGGCACGGCGCTGTCTGCGGCCCACCAATGTGTGTATGGCATGTAACTTAGGAGGGCAAACCAAACATTTAGGGCTCAATCGCGTGGCACGCGCATCGCAAGCATGCACACCTCAGCCTGTTGAGCAAGCTTGCTCAGTGTGGCACCACTATTCGCTCTGCCCAGTATAGGCGGGCAAGCTGCTCTTCTGCACAAGCGCAAGGTACAATGTTTGGTAAGGGGACGCCACAACATTGCGGCTGACTTTCGGACATGCATGCAGTGCGTGCTTGAGCGGCCGCGATTGTCGCCAAGCGTGACAGCGCGCTCGCTTGGACCGTTCGAGTTTCCAGGGTCAAAGGCATGTGATGATTATAATCATAAACTGCAAAAAACATGAGGATTGCCATCTTGGCTGTGCTCTTTGTCTTATTAAGACAAAGAGTACGCCTAAAGGGTACGCCGTCAGCCCCCCTTGACCAGCTTGCATGCCTGCTTGTGCGTCCCCTCAGACCAGTCCTTTTTGGCGCAAGCTGTGCTACAGTACCTGCAGGCCAAGAGGGTTGGTGCGCATGCTGCAGATAGTTCAGCTGCAGATGGTGCGGTTGATTGCACCAGTTGACTGCTTGATCCAGGGGCTTGGCTGCGAAAGTTGATGTCCCGATCTGCGCCCACATGCATTCTCAGCTTCCATGCAGCTGTGCTTACGCATCCGTCAGCAGGTGTCGGCTGCATGCTGATGCAAGCCCAGAAAAATGCATACACCCACGTGCACGTGCATGCGTGCACACACATGCACACACACACACACACATACACACACACACACGCGCGCGCGCACACAAACACGCGGTCACCAACCCACAAGCAAGTCCGCAAAATCCCACCTGACAGCCCTGCACCCACGGCAAAGGCGCAGCCTCACGCCCTCCTCCGCCTGCGTCCTGCCGCACACCGCGCACGCCGCGGTGACGGCCGCCTTGCCCCGCGCCTCCCCGCCCGCCTCCGCCGCCGCCGCCGCCGCCGCCGCCGCCGCCGTCTGCGCCGCTGCGCCGCGCAGCCGCCACAGCACGCGTGCCCCCGCGGCCGGGTCCACTCTCTTCAACCCTGCAGGCCCCGTCGCCAGGGCCGCGAGCACGGGCTCCAGGCCCTCCACCCCCAGCAGCTGCTCTGCAGCTGCCGCGCCGGGCGCAGTCAGGCGGTCGAGGCACTCCACCAAATCGCCTACAGTCGACAAGCGCACCTCGTCCAGCTCTGACTCCGACATGTAGCTTTGCGTCTGGAGACGCACCACGACGGCGGGCCTCCCCAGTGTTGAAAACGCGAGCGCCACAACCGTCGCAGCTGCCGCCAGCAGGCCGGGTGTGGCGGCGACGTCCGCGAGCATCCTCGGCCCGGCGGCCTCCGCGGCCTCTGCCAAGGCGGCGGCGACCGCCGCGGCCCCGTGGCACATGCCGCTGTCAGCGGTGTATACATGGCGCGCGAGCGCAGGCAGGACGCCGCCCGGGAGGGTGATTTCCAGAAACGCTGCGGCGGCTGCCTTGTCCCCGCGAATGAGCTCGGCCACCGCCCGCACCACGCAGGCGGCTGCGCCCGGCGGGGTGCAGGCGCCGGGGCCGCCCGTGCGTCGCAGCGCGGCCGCGAGGGCGGCAAAGGCGGCGGGGCGTGCCTTCAACAGCTCGGCACGGCCTGGCTCGACGCGGCTGAGGGATAGTATGCAGCCCGCAGCAAACCCCAATGTACACGGCTGCTTCGTAAGCCGCAGCAGCGCGGGCACCGCGCGCGCAGCAAGCACCGCGCGCACCGCGGCGGGCCGCGTGCCGTCCGCACGCAAGAGGTTGTGCAGCAGGATGACGGCCGACTTGGCGGCTGTTGATGACTTCAACTGCGCCACGCCGCGCGCCGCTGCGTCTGCGATGGCCGGCGTCGCTGCCGCCACGTTCTCGCGAGCAACCTCGGACTCTCCACTCTCCGCGGGCCCCGTCGGGCCGGCCTCTGCGCGGCTCAGCTCCCGCAGCAAAGTCGTCGGGAACCCCAACGCCGCGCTGGCCTTGGGGCTCACGCCGCCGCCCGCGACCCGCGCCGCCGCGTGGACCAGCCCAGGCTCGCACGCGGCGCGCGCGGCGACGCGCGGGCCGCCGCACCAGACCAGCTGGTGGAGCGGGGTGAGGCTGTCGCACGCGCCGCAGCGTGCGCCGGCGACGCAAAGCGCATCCAGAAAGCGCGGCACCTGGAGCGCGGCGGCGCAAACTTCGTCGCAGGTCATCAGCCTCTTCAAGGCCATCATGACGGGTTCGACAACGATCCAATTTTCGGGCCAGGTGCGCGCAATTCCGGCCAGCGCTTGTAGAACGCCAGGGGTGTGGCCGATCTGTTGGCGAGGTGTGGGTGCGGGCGCGGGTGCGGAGTGGGGTGTGGCGGGAAGGTGGTTTGGGCATCTGCCACGGGAGTTTGCGGGCGCCGGCAAGCGCCGGAGCGTGCTTTGAATTGGTTGTGTTTTGCCATCACTAAGCCAGACGCCGTCAGAGCTGAGAGCGCCGGCATGTGCCTCGCTCGCACCTGTTGCCGCCGCTGTCCAGCCTGATTTGCATAGGCCTGATCGTCCTGGAATCCCTCAAGCAGCGCCCTTACGGCGACCGCCGCGGCAAGGCTTCGAAACCGGCGCGCGTGCGCGTCGGGGCCGCGCCCCGCCCGCAGCCCTCCGCGAGCACGCGGCGCAGCGCCGAGGGCAGCGGCGGCGGCAGCAGGGTGTCGGGCGCGGCGAGAGAGGCTGCTTGCAGCTCGGTTTCGGCTGCTTTCATGGCGGCGAGTGCAGCATCATCCTGCGTGACGGCAGCGCCGGTGCGGCGCTCCTTATGGTAGTCCAGATCGAGCATGCCCTGCAGGGCGACCTCGAGGCGAGCCTGGGCATCGGTGGCCATGTTGCCTGTCATGGATACACGGTGACGCTCCTGCACGTACGGGGTTCACACAGGCCTGCAGTGTCATTGGCAGGCCGGGGCCAGGTGCGCATGCAGACCACGCAGAATACGCGCCACCCACGCTGCCTTGGCTGTGTGATAGTACAAACAGAGTGTGGGTGGTGGTTGCAAACATTATGTGCGCGATAAAGTCTCACGTGATCAGCTTTGTGATTGCCTTCAAAGAGCCCTGAAGCAATCCGCTACAGCGTTGTCGAGATCACGCAGAACGTGATCCTCCCGCCTAAAAGATACGTACGAGATTCCTGTTGACGGTGATAATTGGTACACTTTTCGGAGATCAAATTAGTTTCGCATGTAGGACTCTGATGATTTTGCAGCCCCGCAGGCCCTCATAGCCTGCTCATAACGTGCGGGGCAGGAGCACTCCCATGCAGACCTGTCTGCAAGCCAAGGCGCACAAAACTTTTGAGCTGCGTGCTCACAGGCGCCGTGCGGCTTGTCCATTGTACATTCACCGGCTTTTTCCTCTTTTCAATCAACTGGCGTGAGCGCCGTGTTGCGGTAACGCACGCTTACCAAATGGGGCGCGCGAGCTGAGGGACGTTTTGCCGTGAGCACTGGAGAACAGGGTGGCAGCTCCGCCGCGCGGCCGCCTCATGATAGGAGTTTGTCACGACAGACTAGCCTGGACAGAAGCGGGCAGCGTCTTCCCATCAGCAGCGTACAAGCATGTGTACTGGAGCGCGAGGCGGGCACTGCGTGCTCAGGCACAGCGTGCAGTCAAGTTCAACGGTTAGCACTAGTACGAACGGGGTTGTACATGTGACTCCGCGCGCTCAAACCAAGGATTAGGCGCATCGCTATCGTCATGACCCACCTGCAGAGGCCAGGCATGCCGGCCAGGCTTACCATCACAGTCACACCGGTATGACGGTAACCGGAAGCGAGGGCCATGGCACCTCGGCAGAGCCTCACATCACCACAAGCGCACAGCACAAGCATGCACAAGCGGCATGCTTGATTCTCCAGTACATCTGGATGAACGGGGTGCTGTTACTTGCCACTGGCCGATATAATCCAGGTCTGCGTCCAGCGTCATGGCCGAGTGACGTGGTGCCGCTGTGTACGGGAGCACGGCGCCCGCCTGCCATCATATGCACCCGCTGCACGCTATCGCATGAACTAGAGTATCCGTGTTTCACATAATGCTGTAAAGTGACACGCGCAGGCAGCCATCATCGCCTGGGTGTGATCGAGGATCGTCCCATCCTATCAGCAGCGCGCTGCAATGAGCGACGAGGTCGCTGCTCTGGACAGCGCTCTGGGTAACGACGATGTCAGCAGCGAAGCCACAGATCCTGCCCTCGAGGTGAGACTCTCCTGGCCACTAGAGCGCTTCCTTGCCAATGGGTCTCGCGCGTGCATGACAGTCTCTACAATGGTGCTAAATCGTGTGGCCGCACGTGCCCCTCTGTAGCGCTCCAGTGCATACGCCCCACCTCTCGGCGTTGCCACCCGGCCGTTGCACCGTGGGCGACGTGCGAGCAGCACCGAAACCTCATGGCGCGACCCTGCTCGTCCGCTCTGCGCCCGCTCTTGTGGCCACTTGCCAACATACAGGGGGATGTGGAGTCACAGCAGGAGAAGCTGGTCCAGAAACACAAGAACACAGGCAACGCCCTGTTTGCCGAGCAGAAGGTTCGTGCCCTGTTTTGGGCAATGCTGGGCGGCAGTCAACCCACGGACTCGGTCAACGACGCTTTGGGCCGCCCGCCACGCAGCACCTGCAGCATGCGCACCCGCGCACCCACGCTCTGCTGCGAACGTCGTCCCTGCCGGGCATGCCACGCCTTGCGCGGGCGCGCGCCCGCTCCACCGGCTGGCTTCCGCCGCCGCCGCCCCCCCCCCTCACAAGCGCATGCGCCGTCCCACCGTACAACCCACGCCTCGGGCAGTGGGAGCAGGCGAGCAAGCAGTTCACCCTGGCCCTGAAGTTTGCGCCCCCGGGCGACAAGGAGGCGGCCGCCGTCCTGCTCTCAAACCGCAGCGCCGCCCTCTGCAGGTGCGCCCCGGCGCCGCCCGCTGGCCCCCCACCCGCCACGACCGCTTGCCCCAGCCGACCCCGACTTCTGGGCACACACTCCATCCCACGCTGTCCTGCATTCTGCACCCCGGGACCCCTCTCGCGGCCAGCCACCTGCCCCCAGCAGCCTGCTGCATTTACTCTTGACCTCGCCCCTCGCCCCCCACACCCGCGCTGTACCCCGCTCACTCACTCCCTCCCCCACCTCCACACCCCGCCCAGCTGGAGCATGCAGCTGCGCTCCCGCCCCGCGGCGCTCAGCGAGTCGCGGGCCATTTTTGCCCCGGATCCGACCCACCTGGCGCAGCTGGCGTTGAAGGACGCGGAGAGGGCGGCGCAGCTGAGGCCGACGTGGCACAAGGGCTATTCGCGGCAGGTGCGGGCGGGGCGGCGCGGGGACGGCGGTCAGGGGCGGGGTGGCTGTCAGCATGGGGAACATCCCGAGAGAGGAGCAGGGCGGCGGCAGGCGTGGCTGGGGCCGGCGAGCCGCGCGGCGGCTCTCCCCATGACCGGTTGCATTCGTGTCGAGAGGGGAGACCCTGACCGCCGCCCTCCGCCCCTCACAACATCTCACCCACGACCACGGGCATCGCCGGCGGCGCGGCTTCTCAAATCGCAACTGTACCCTGTACCCGATGCAACGGCCCCTGCCGACTCCTGCCCTCAAACGCACCCCGCCCCCACCCCTGCCCTCCAACCCCCTTCCTAGGGCGCGGCGCTGTTTTTGTTGGAGCGCTACGGCGAGGCGGAGACGGCCTATCTGGAGGGCCTGATGCTGGCGCCAGGCAACGCCACACTCACGGAGGGGCTCAACAAGGTGCGCACATGCGCGTTTGCGCCCGTCGTATCTATGCAGGTCGTACCCTTCCCTTCCAACCTCTTATCCTGCCTCCCAACCGTTTCCTGTCTCACAAACCCAACTCCATTGTTCAATCCGCCGGTATCCCACCTGATGTTGTCTTGTCCTGTCCTGTCTTTTTGCTTTTCATCAAACCTGTACTTGACATGGCATGTGTGGTGAATCCGCGCGTGCAGGTGCAAGCGGTGCTGGCGGAGCAGCAGCAGGCGCGGGACACCAGTGATACCGCGGCTGGCAGCGACGGCCGCGCGGGGCCTAAGAGGTGCGCCCCAGCCATCGCCCCTATGCGACCCCGGCTCTGCGGTCTGCCCGCGGTCCGTGCCTGTGACCCAGCCTTGATGTGTGAGTGTGTGTGTGTGTGTGTGTGTGTGAGAGTGTGCGTGTGTGTGTGTGTGCGCGCGCGTGCTTGGGTGGGTGCGTGTGCATGTGCGTGCGCGCGCTTGTGCCTATGACAGCCTCATTTGACTTTTGTTCAGTTCAGCTGGCCGTACACCATCGTCTCTCAGCTGCATTCAGCTATTCAGCCGCGTGCAGCCCCCCCCCTCACACACACCCGCGGGCGCCGCCCTTCCCCGCGCCAACGAAGCAGGCAGCGCCGGCTGGCGCGGGAGGCGGACGACACCGAGTGCATCCTGTGCATGAAGCTGCTGTGCGAGCCCGTGACCACGCCCTGCGGCCACACGTTCTGCCGCTCTTGCTTCTCCCGGGCGCTGGACCACTCATCCAAGTGCCCCTGCTGCCGCACGGTGCGCATGTTTGTGTGTGTGTGTGTGTGTGTGTGTGTGTGTGTGTGTGTGTGTGTGTGTGCATATACGTGGGTGCGTTTATGCGCGAGAGAACGGGGGCCGGGGGCCGGCAGACTGGGGCGCGGGCGGCCGCAGGTCCGAGGCGTCTGAGATGCCGCATGCCGCCCGCGCGGCGCCTGTGCTTGGCCGCGCCAGGATCCTGCTGTGCTTTCCCTGTGATTCAATCAACAGTTGCCCTGCGGAACCCCACCAGCAGTGGGTCTCACAGGCCACTCCCCCTCCCTCTGCCATGCCGGCACCCCTCCCCGGCCGGCCTGCCGCTGCCACCAGCATCGACGCGGCTCGACCCATGCGGCACGGTCGCACTAGCACCTCCGTTTTTGCAACCCTTGCTCACACCGCCACCGTTGCCGGAACTGCCAAAACATTGAAGTCAGCTGTCACGACCACTGCATCCGCCACACCTGTGACATAACCGCCACAACCACCGCAACCGCCATGAATGCTGCACCCGTCGCAACCGCCAGGTTCTTCACGTGGCCCGCGAGCTGCCCGTGTCCATCACCCTCAAGAATCTGCTGCTCAAGGCCTTCCCCGAGGACTACGCCGCCCGCCTGGCAGAGGAGTCCTCCGCCGCCGCGGCGGCGGCGGAGGGCGATGGCGCCGCGGCGGCAGGCAGCGGTGGCAGCGGCGGGGGCGGCGGCGCGGGGGCGGCGACGCTGCCGCTGTTTGTGATGTCCACGATGCTTCCCGGCGAGAAGATGGCGCTGAACATATTTGAGCCGAGGTGGGTGCTGCTGGGATGTACGATGGCTGGCACATCCCCTTGGGCTGTCGAGGCCCTGTGGCTCGCGACTTGCAGTCAGAGCGCGCCGCGCAGCTGCTGCAGGCGCAGGGGCCGTGCTTTACAGGAGTCGATTAGGAAAGAGCGACCTACGTCGCACGCCCACATGTCTGGTTTGTGTATTTGCAACCCACGACCCCCTTTTCCTGTTTTACTGTGTCCCCATCGCTCATCCTCTCTGCTCACTCTGTGCCCCCCCTCAACATCGCGCCCGCACCCATCCCCAAACCGTCTCGACCCCACCTCCTCAGTGTTTCACCCTCAGCCCATAAACATCTCAACCCTGCCCCCAAATTATCCCGACCAGGTACCGGTTGATGGTGCGGCGCTGCATGGAGGGCTCCCACCTGCTGGGCATGGCACAGGTGGGGGACGCGTGGAGCAGGCGGGGCAGCACGGCGCACCGAGTGGGCGTGGGCGTGGCTGCGTCTCAGCCAGATCAATATGCAGCCGCTTTGGCGTTTTTGTAGGCAGGCAGCCAGTCAGACAAGCGCGCCAGGGCGCGGGGCTCCTTTCAGGCGCGGGGCTCCTGCATTTGTCGACTCTCGCTTGCTGCTGCGGCCAAAAAGCCAAAGCTGCGATCCGACCTGTATGGGCGTGGCCATGCGCCCAGGCATACCTGGGACCCTTTGCGCATCACAAATCGTGCACCCACAGCAGCTCATGCCGCACTCTTCAAATCTCCTTTGGCATTCTGCCAAGCTCGATAAAAACCACGCCCTCCCTGGCCCTGCCCGCCCGCCTTCCGTCACGCCCAGGTGGCGCGCGACCACTCCCTCGACCCCATCGCCTGTGAGGCCGCCATCACCGAGTGCCAGCAGCTGCCAGACGGGTGGGTCCGCGGCGGCGCTCGTTCAAGGACGGCGGGGGAGCCAGCTCGCTTCCCCTGCCCTCGTCTGCCTCTTCTTGCCGGCGCTGCACCTCGCTGCGCCGCTGCGCCCGCCCTTGCACGCACGTGCATGGCGGCCCTATCCGCCCCTGACCCAGCCCGCTGACCTGGCGACCGTCCGCCCAAGCCCCATCCATCCCATCTTCTCCCCCGTCACCTGCATGACGCAGAAATTTGTTTCCGTCCACAGTCACACAAACGTTTTGCCACATGCACACATGAATCATGCAGTACATGAGGCTACAATCGTATGCGAACCCACTCACCTCGTGTGCTCGCCTGACCATCCGCCCTCGTGTAACCTCCCTCCAGCCGCTATTACCTGGAGCTGACCGGGCGCCGCCGCGTGGTCATCGACCGCAGCTGGGAGCAGGACGGCTACAGGGTCGGCAGCGTCAAGCACTTGAAGGGTGCGCGGCACGAGGGCTTGCGCCCAGCCGTGCGCCCGACTTGCGCGCCTCCTGTTGTGCCGGAAGTCTTTCCGTGCGTCCGACTATGACCGTGTGGGGTGCCGCCAGAATGCTGAACGGGGCGGCTGTGGGTGCGCCAGGTGTCGCCGCAGCACAGCGTGCCGCTCCCCACCCTTACCCTGGGCCACGCCTGAAGCAAACAGACTGGCCGGCTACCACGCCTGTATTGAGTCGTGACGCTTGAGGCCGACAATAGTATACCGCCGCTCTGGTCCTGTTTTCCCGGCTGCTTTCCCTCTTCCCACCCTCCTGCGCCCTGCACGGCTGCACCCCTAAACCCCTAAACCCCTGAGCCCCTGCACCACTGTACCCCCCCCCCAGACAACCCGCCAGAGCCGGGCAGCCAGGAGGCCCAGGAGCTGCAGAGCGTCGCAGCAGAGGTGGGCACTGCTCCTCACTCCTTTACCTCACCCCCTCCCTTCCCCTGAGC